TGCGTTATATGAACTATTTAGGATACAGATGTCATCATCTACTGTACATAGAAAATCTTGATGACGAGTAAAGACATTTAACAAAAACATGTACTGCAATTTGTTAGTTGGTAATAGTCTGAAATAATAATAATTAAATTATTACTTTCAGGACTAGTGTGGTTTAACGAATTATCGAATTCACCGTACTAATACACACATTTGTTTATCCTATTTAAAACCTGGTCGAAGGAAGCATGAATTTTCAAGGCTTGAATAGTTTAAATATTTTTATGAACAAGTTTTCGGGAAATTTTTTACCTGTCACAAACGAGAAAAAGGAACTGACTGTTCTTCTAAAAATTTACTTACTTATTGTTTGGCTGACACAGCTAACATATTTGGCTACTTGTATCTTTGGACTTTTCCATGTGCCTAGTGAAAGAGTACTAAAGGACAGCACAATAAATATGATAGTCTCGGTGGAAGCAATCATTTTGATAATTTATCTATCCAACCGTAAAAGTTTATTACGCGCATTAATTGGGAAACTAAATTATGTTCTTCTCGTAGAAGATGAAGTGCTTCAGAAGGCCGTAATTAGTACAACAAGACCGTTAGAAAAACCACTGAGAATATATACGATTGCTAGTATCAGTTCTGTTGTTATTTGGACATCGTTGCCATTTTTCGAAGTGTTTCGGAAAAGTGAATTTTATTATACCGACTATCGAGTGCCAGCTGGTTTATTTGAGGAACCTTTCACAGTTGGCATTTTTATTAGCGGAGTTTTCCTTCAGATTTTCGGCAGTGGATATACGATAACCAGAAAAGTTAGCTTGGATCTCTACACAATGCATTTAATACTTTTAGTAACCGCCCAATACAAGTATCTCCGGATCAAATTTGCAGCGATATTTCAACAGCAATCTAGCAAGCAGCAGAATTCAAATGATATGATTAAACGGAAATTGAGATTGTTAACTTATCATTATGGAACCATAATTCAGTAAGTACGAAATTTTAATTAACCCTATAATGGACACTCTTATTTTTCGCACTTCCTGTGGACACACTGCATCGTTTATGACCTTGGCTTTCATCAAATCTGAAAAAATTCTAAGATACTTGTTCAAGTCTTTATTTTTATATTGTAAAAAATAACAAATAATGTTACATTTTTAGGGACGGGTATAATGTGTAATTGAGAGTATGAGGG